AACTGACGAACTATGATTCATTTTTGCGAAAAATAGAAAAATTTCCAAATGAAAAAATTATCGTTGAATAAAAAAAATTATTACCTTCAAACTAAACTAATTATGTAAAATCACATGTTACAATATTAGAAATTACAACATTGTAGTAATTTACGGTTAGTTGCAACATCGTAAATATTGCGACATTTCCGTAATTTATAGTTAGTTGCAACACTGTAAATTCTGGGCTTTAAAGTTGTATTATTACAACATGCTGTTGCAATACCGTAATACTGTAATTCTAAATTACAGATACCAACTCTAAAATCAGGTAATTCGAAATCAAGATATTTCAACTAGTAAGCATTCAGTTGATGAAAAGAGACTAATTCTTCTTGTAGATCTTATCTGATATTATTAAATAAATGTAAAGAGCGAACTTGCATTATTTGACTTAATCTTTAAACAATAGAGTTATTATACACAACTGCCAAAATAAATTGCTTTATTGGTATTTTGTTTCTGCAGTGAATTTTCTATATTTGGGGAAAAAATCATTTAGCAATTACAAAGATGAAATATTATATTTTGATTTTGATTTTCGATAGGATTTTATAGATTTATTATAATTTCGAACGATACCGCAAAACCAAAATTTGCAAAATTTGACTGTTTTTAACAGGTTGGATTGTAATACAATATAAAGAACTTAAGTAATCTTTATTCTTATTTTTATTCAAAGTTGAAGATTCAAGTTGAAAAAGCTTTAGAGAAATACTAAGGCGACATATGCTGCACGATTTGCAGTATTCTAGCAAAAAAGGATTACAATTTCAGGATAATGAATTTGGATGAAAATACTGCTAAATTAAAAACATGTTTTCAGAATAATACTTTACAAAACAAGAAAATAATAATTGAGAAATTGGTGATATAATTGGAATTAATAAAGAACTTTAAAGATTACATATTTTTTTACACGATATATATTTATATCTAATAATAAATAAAGTGTTATTTTTTTTTCGAACATTAAGATGCTTATTAGTATTTATAAATTTAACTTTTATATAATTAAAATTTCAAATTAATATCATTGGTTAATTAAAGTATCATCTATCAAAAATTTTGCCCTCTATCATAATATTTACCAATCGAAACTTTTACCACCTGTCAAAAATTTTGCTACACATTGTCAACAGAGCAATTAACCAGTCATAATGAAGTCACGTGGATGACGCAGTATGATGATCTCTTAATCCAGAATTCTGAAAATACTGAGAATTCTGCAAATTCTGAAAATACGGAGGGTCTGCGTAACTCTAAAGATCTTCCAAATACTGATAATAATCATAATTTTACAAATTAAACGAAGTCTAAGGATATTTGGTGTTATACGTAT